CACACACACACACACACACACACACACACACACACACACACGCACACTGATAATAAAAATAAACTTGTTGGAAAGCACTGGTGGCTACGGATGCTCTTGACATCTTTCACTCTCACTGGTCTAGAGCAGAGTGACCCACTGTTTTATTTCTACATACCAGATCATGGAAACTAAGGCTGAAACAGGTCAAAGGCCACACCCCCCAAGGAAATGGTGATGCTGCACTTGACACTAGACCACCAGCCCCCTCAGTCTGTTTTCTCAACTGAACGGTGACGCCTTACAAAAACATCACTTGATTTCCAAGGCTGAGCTAGCCGCTCTCCCTTGGGAGGAAAAACCCTCACACATACACTGAACTGGGTCCCCAGGAAACCTTGTTCTTTCCCCTGGGCAATGGGCAGAAACAGGCCTTCACCTGATGCCCTGCTCTAGATTCCTAGCAGAGGGCTGATTCAGAGGATGGATGGGAGGTGACCTAGCATGGCCGAAGCATTCCTTCCCATCAGTCATGCTGAAGAGTCACTGGCCTTGGCCTGACCCCCTCGCCTGCTTGTGTCCGTCCCTCCTGTACGCTAACGTCTTCCTCCTGTACAGAGCTGAGGGGTCATAATAGGGTGACAGCCGCCTGGAACGCTTGCAAAGAATAGGGAGGCTTGGGATGGGGACTGGTTCTGGTATTTATGTCTTGTGTGACCCTGTGGAAGCCCATCCCTTGCTCTGTTCTCCATGTCCCACTCAGTATAGTGAGATACTTGGGCTCACTACTGGAGGAGGCACAAAAGCCCAGGCTAACAGGGCAGGTGGTCTGTTTTTATTTGCAAGGAGGGTTAGCTCCATCGGCTTGGACAGCATGCTTTATTTTCTTTTTTCTTTTGGATTGTTTGAGACTGGGTAGTCAAGGCTAACCTTGAAATCCAGATCCTCCCCTTCCCCAGGGCTGGGATCACAGGCATGTGCTACCACACCTGATCTGACTTTATTCTTTTTCTAAGTGGTCAACCAGTCGCTCTGCCCCTCTGCATCCATCTTTCCCCTCTGGTTTATCATGCGACCAGCGCAGCTCCATGCCGTCTTTCGGTTGGCTGGTTTACTTCTGTATCACTGCTAACACATCAGCCTACCATCTCTTTAAAGGAAGTGTCAGTACTTGGTAGGCTATGTCTCCCTTCACCTCTACCCCTAGTCTCCCATTCTGTCCTTCAAAAACTTGAGGGGGTGGTGGGAGGGCTGGAGCAATAGCTCACAGTTAAAAGCACTTGCTGCTCTTCCAGAGGACCCAACTGCCATTCCTAATGCCCATGCTGCATGGCTGACAATGGCCTGTAACTCTGGCTCCAGGGGCTCTGACACTTTGGGAAGGGTTTGGGCTTTCAGTGGGCTGAGGGCCCAGGGCTTTGGACCCTGCCACCTCCCCTACAATTCCCTCTTCTCTCTACGGTCTGATGCCTGGCCCTTCCACCTCCTTGGGGCTGGGGTTACAAGCATGCGCCACCACACTTGACCTGACTTCATGCTTTCTCCAAGGGGTCAAACTCTTCACACACACACACATACACACACACACACACACACACACACCATGATGCATAATATTGTGGATGTTATTGGCCTTTTTTTCTTTCATGTTTTTATTACTTTTTTTCCTTTTTGGATTCTTTTGAGACTGTAGCCTAGGCAGACCTTGAGTTTCTGATCCTCCTGCCTGCACTCTCCAAGTGCTGGGATTACAGGTCTGTGCTACCAAAGTCAGCTTCCTTCTGTCCTTCCATAAGAACAGGAGTCAGTTTTAGACTACAAGCCCTGATTGGGATTTTAGTTGGAAATAGGCTGAAATCTCAAATTTGGTGAAAATCTTCCTGGTCATTGAGATTCCCTGCTTTTAGCAATGGAGTGTGACCTAGACTCTGGAGTCAGACCTGGGGACAATCCCTACTGTGTGATTGGGAGGACACGGAAATCCACACGTGACTCTGAGCCCCGGTTTCTAGCACCGCAAAGCTAACAATGCCTACTTCCCTGTGACCCTGGGCATCTTAAGGCAACGGATGCCTTCACAGAGTGCTTGGCACAGGCGGGCAGGCCTGGCGTGGAACCTGCTGCTGGAGTCATTGCTCTCCTACCCTCCTGCTGCTTCTACCACACTTACTAAAGTGTGCTTCTTCCTTGCTTTATCGAAGAGGCTCCTGTCCCTGGTCAAAGTCATAGCCCTGGGGAGCTGCTGACACACAGCGTCTTTCGTGTACCTTCCCTCATACTGACCTAGGAACTCACAACCCAGATGCCTTCCTTGCTCAAACTGTGAGGCATCAGACTGCTGATCTTGTTAGAGAAGGGCAAAGCCCCAAGGTCGGAACACCTGAGCCCTCAGCCTGCTGAAAGCCCAAACTATTAACCCGACACACATGGGAAGGATAGACAGATGGACAGACGAGCAGACAGATGAGACGGAGCAGGCAGGCAGGCAAAGATAGCGCTCTGGAAGGGATGCATGAGGCTAGAGGGGCAGAGGTCATTCTCTCTTTAAAACTCCCTGGTGCCTCTACCGCATACCCTGTAGACAGCTGAAGGGGGTAGTTAGGGAGTGGCCGAGCTTCCCTTAGCGACCGGAGAGAAATCCAGGTATTACCTGGGTTTCTGAGCATTTTCTTCCTCTCTCAGCCAGTCAGAAAAGCAGCCACACGGGGAGGACAGAAAGGGTGTTGGGTACTCACTGGGCAGGTTGAAGGCTCTGTCCCTACTTAGGAGCAGCAGCAGCAGCAGCAGCCAGTGGCTGCCCATGCCTGTGCTGATGGATGGTCCTGGAGGTGTTAGGAAGGAGCTCTGGCCCGAACACAGGGACAGACTGCAAGACAGCATGGTACCCTTGTCACCAGTGCCACCGCTCTGCCGCTCTGCCGGCTGAGCACTCTACCCGCTCTGTTGTCCTCACTCCCTGTGGGCCTCAGGGGGCTTTTTAGAGTCAGAGCCAATACTGATGCGGAGTCAGGGGCGGGGCAGGGGGGCGGGGAGGCAGTGTTTCCCATCAGCTGCAATCAGTGGACCTCTGGGGACTGCAGTTCCAACTAGTGAGTATCCCCAGGGCCCCTAGTTGTCAGCCTTTCCTGAACAGCAGGGCAGAACTCTGGGCCACACAGCTTCCCGGTCACCACCAGCAGAGTATCTGAGTGTCAGGGACTTTGGTCTTCCAGCTTCTGGGTTTCCAGTTGACACTCGAGAATCCAGATCTTCTGCCTGAGCTGATCAGTTTTTTTCTGCGGTGATTTGAATCAGATCCTATAGATTCATCTATTAGAATGCTTAGTCCCCAGTTGGTGGAACGTTTGGGAAAGATTAGGAGGTGTGGCCTTGTTGGGGGAGGTAGGTTGCTGAGGGTGGCTTTGAGATTTTGAAGGTGTAGCCTGGCAATGAGTGGTAGCTCATGCCTTTATTCCAGCACTAGGGAGGCAAAGGCAGTTGGATCTCTGAGTTCGAGGCCAGCCTGGTCTACAGAATGGGCTCTAGGTCAGCCAGGGCTACACAGAGAAACCCTGTCTCAGAAAAACAAACAAACAAACAAACAAGAAAGAGACTTCAAAAGCCTCCCCGACCCCCAGTATCTCTCTCTGCCTCATGCTTGCAGATCTTGATATAGCTCTCAGCTACCGCTCCAGCCACAGGCCGGAAGTTCTTCCACCAGACTTCACTTGATGCACAAAATCTTCCCACGTCCTCCCAGCAAGCCTCAGTGCTGTTGTAATCCAGAAGACCTTTGGGGACTCCCGCTTTAACCAGCCACCCTTTGGTGTCCAAGGGTAGAGCCACCTGTACAGCTTGGTCAGTGGTGACCCTACCAGACAGGGACTCCCCAGGGTGAGGAGCAGCTGTCACCTTCAGACAGGTTGGGGTTCCCAACCATGAGACCCAGAAACAGCACCCTCACCCCAAATTCAGGATTCTAAGGTCAGGGATTCTATCTCTACCATTAAAGTCAAACTGATCAGGGGGTAAATGTTACTCCATCACTGTATCGGAAGCCCCTAAGGGGTTCATCAGACCAACCCTGAGATGAGATCTCATTTCGAAGCCCAGGCTGGGCTCTGGCTCTTAGGAAACAAGATCTATCTCCCCTCGCAGACCAAAGGCAAGAGTGTGAAACAGGTTGAGAACAACCAGTCAGACACATTGATTATAACACGAAATTTTATTTTTGGTGCACACAGCCTTACTGACCTGGCTCTTTTCAGTGCCGGGGTCCACCCAGGACTCATCCGGGAGCTGGAGCAGAGGTCAAGGGTGGTCACCGGTGGGCCAAAGCCTGGCTACCCCTTTCTGCGCTCATCCTTGCTGTGGGGCTTCCATTCTCATCCAGAATCCTCCATCCTGACTCCTCTGGACCTCAAGCTCACAGGCATAAGCCATGCAGATGCTGCCACCATCCGAGCCCCTGGCCTCTGCCCCCGGGTATAAGGGAGAGGAATGGGCTCCAGTCGGGGATGCAGGGCGATGCAGCAGCTGGTCCTGGGTGGGTGCAGGCCCCCTTGGCGCCCATTCTGCTCTTCAGAGGCTGAACTTGTGTTTGCTAAGCATGTTTGTGCTAGAATCGTGAACCTGCAAGCCAAGGGGTCCTTTTGTCGTTCTGCTTACCTTGAGGGGACAGACTGCCTCTTCCTCTTCCTCCTCCTGTCTCAACAGCTGCCCCATCTGAGTAATTCTAGCATGGGTAGAACCCACACTCAGAACTGGGGAGCTCAGGGATTCCCAAGACTCCATTCCACTCCAGTCCTGTGAGCTAAGAGGCACGCGCGCGCACACACACACACACACACACACACACACACACACACACACACACTGCTTATATGCACCCTAGATGGATTGACAGGGGACCTTTTTCCAATGTGGGACTGTTTCCAAGGAAGAGCCGAGCTGGCAAAAGCCACTCTAAGATAAGTCTGTAGGTGCTGGGGGCGGTGTGTGTGTGTGTGTGTGTGTGTGTGTGTGTGTGTGTGTGTGTCTCCTCCTCCTCCTGGAAGGAGGCTTGGCCTCTCTGAGAAGAAAATGACTAGACTCGACCGAACGGGGTGGTGCCCTCTGAAATGAGTGGGGATCTTAGAGGGTCGGCAGGAAAGGAAGGACATCTTGGCCGTAGTACCTGTGGGGGCTATGGTGTGTTTGTGGGGGACGGGGGGTGGGGAGGCGGTGTTGATTAGGTAGGGAAGGGAATGCGTACCTTTTCCCTGCTGACCAGTGCAGAGATCAAGTCTTGCTGGGTAGCCACCTCACGCATGTCTAAGGAGGACCCGCTCTGTAAGGACAGGGCTTTGGAGGCGTGCCTGTGTAACAGCTCCTTTTCCTGCTCCTGGTTGTAAAGGATGGAGCGCACCTCCTCCACGATCCTGGGGCAGAAGAGACATTGTGCTCCTTGGCCAAGCCCTTCCATCTCTCCCTTGGTGTGCACCCTCCCCTTCCCTTCTTCCCTCACTGCTTCTGAAGCATCCCTAAGGGAGACCCAGGCCACGCAGGGCCCTCCTGGGAGAAAGGCATGACACCAGCTCCTGAGCTGGGAAGCATGAACTGTGGGCGAGTTCCTTAGAAAATGGGCTCAATGAGGCCAGGGCCCGCTCTGCCTCCCCAGCACCCTCCCCTACGTGTTGAGCTCCTCCCGGATCTCTTTGTATTCCATCAGGTTCTCCTGTATTGCCTCAAGCACCAGGCAGAAATTATCGAAGGTCTTTTCTGTGAGGTTGCACAGGGGACCCCCAACCAGAGGTTCCTGGGGGAGGCCAGAAATCTCCTTGCGGGCCTCCATACAGTGCACCAGTGGCAGATCGTCAGCCCAGTCCTCTTCATCTTTGCCTGTCTGGGGACATTAGATGGAGAGGGATAGACAGCTTAGGGTCATGTGACTTTAGAAAGGATGACTCTCTTAGGACATGCCCCTTTTAACCGTATTTGGTATTATAACATTTTATGTTATTTTATTTGAGCATACTAGGGATGGAACCGAGGGCCTCCAGCCACCTAGGCAAGCACTCTAACACCAGTCCTCAGCTCCAGTCAATCTTAGCTTCCCTACCTTGCTGTGATAACTCCATCAAGTGTATACGTAAGGCCCTCTCAGGTCTCTTTAGAAATTCTCACCCCAGCAAGCCTTTAAAGCCCCTACCTACTCTGAAGTAATGATGGTCTTAGCCTTCTGACCTTTTCAAAGTACTCCACTTTCTCCTCCACCTTTTGCAAGTTCTACCAAGTAAATCCTGGGTAGCCAACATTAAGTTCTTTTTTCTTTCTTTTTCTTTGTTTTGTTTTGTTTTGCTTCTCAGGACAAGATTTCTCTGTAGCCTGGCTTGAACTCATTTTGAAGACCAAGCTGACCTCAAACTAAGAGATCCACCTGCCTCTGCAGGGATCAAAGGTGTGTACCACCACATCCAGCCAATATTTATTTTTATTTTATGTGTATGAATGTGTTGTCTGCATGTGTGTAAATAAGCGCACCATGTACATGCGATGCCTGTGGAGACCAGAAGGTGGCTATGGATCCCCTGGAACTGGAGTTACAGACAGTTGTGAGTGGCCATGTGGATGCTGGGAATTGAACCCAAGTCCTCTGCAAGAGCAGTAAGTACTCTGTGTTTTTTTTTTTAAGATTTGTTTATTTATTTATTTATTTATTTATTTATTTATTTATTTATTTATTTATTTATTGTGTATATAGTGTTCTGCGTACATGCCAAAAGAGGGCACCAGATCTCATTACAGATGGTTGGGAGTCATCATGTGGGTGCTGGGAATTGAACTCGGGACCTCTGGAAGAGCAGCCAGTGCTCTTAACCACTGAGCCAGCCCTCCAGTTCATTTATTGAGCACTTACTTACAAGCACTCATCAGACCCTATATGATTCTCATGAGAATCTTGGCAAGCAGGTACTATTATCATTCCCATCATAGAGAAGAACTTCAGGATGCCTTGGGTAAATGCCCTGATGACACCCCATTGCTCAGCTTTGAATTATTATGGCATATCTAGGGATCCATACCCAGCCCCCGGGAGCTTCAGTCACTGAGTGGACATTACAGATATGAAGGCCTTGCCTCCAGGTTTGTGTGTATGCAAACACACACACACACACACACACACACACACACACACACACACGTCACTCATGCCCACGCTCTCCTCCCCGCGCTCCCCGCACTCCCCGCTCCCCGTGCTCCTCCCCCGTCCCACGCACCTCACTAAATGTTATCTGACGCTGCTGCCCCTGCTCCCCAATCTTCATCATCTGTTCCAGGTTTGTGGTCACCACGACGACAAACAAGTTGAGGCCGATGAACGCGCCGATGGTGATGAAGATAGCGAAGTAGATGGCGCCTCCGACTTCCATCGCGATCTCCCTGTCCTCCATCCTGGGGACGGCAGTTGGGAGCGCCATCATTTCCTTGGCCCTTTACGCCTCGGTTTCCTCCTCTTCCTCTTCTTCTTCTTTTTTTTTTTTTTTTTTTTTGATTTCTCGAGACAGGGTTTCTCAGTGTAGTTTTGCTGCCTGTCCTGGATCTCACTCTCTAGCCCAGGCTGGCCTCGAACTCACAGGGATCCACCTGCCTCTGCCTCCCGAGTGCTGGGATTAAAGGTGTGCGCCACCACCGCCCGGCCCACATCTGTAATCTCAGCACTTAGGAGACTAAGGCAGGAAGATCACTTCAAGTCTGAGGCCAACAGTGGAATAGTTTGTCTAATGTCACAGAGCCAGTGCAGAGGAAAGTACTCAAAAAACCCCGGTGCAGCTTCACTGTGCAGTCCATGTAGCCCAGGCTGGCCTCAAACAGAGATCCGCCTGCCTCTGCCTCCCCAGTGCTGGGATTAAAGGCGTGCACTACGATGCCCGCTTTTTTTCCTTTTCCTTTTTTTTTTTTAAGACTGGTTCTCAAGTTAGCCCAGGCTGGCCTCCAACTGTGTAGTGTAGGTGAATGGCACCAGTGTTGGTTTCTGTAGTTCTGGGGATTGAACCCAGGCTAGGCAAACACTCTACCTACTGAGCTCCATCCCCAGGTGCCTTCCTTCACACACACCCCCCATTTTCTCTTCTTGGAAACAGGGTCTTATTACAGCCCAAGTTGGCTGTAATTGACTTGGACTCCTGATTCTCCTGCCTCTGCTTCCTGAATGCTGAGGTGTCCACTACCCGGGACTGCAGAACCCCTTTGCCTACTTGGCTTCTGCTTCACAAAGGGAGTGGGATGGAATGAGGTTGGACTTGAACTTCCAAGAAGCAAAGACTAGAACACAAAAATGCCCTTGAGGAGCAGGTCTGAGAATGAGAGCATTGAAACCCAAACTTCCCAGGACTCTAGGAGGTGTGTGGTGCTCTCCTGCAAGCTGGAGGCCACCTCAGAACCTCAGGCCCAACCTCAGACCTGTTCCCTGGCCCAAGGTCGAGCCACACAGCTCTGTAGCATAGCAGAAGTCTCCATGAACAGGGTCAGGCGGCCCTGTGAATGTGTGAGGCTTCTATGGGAACAGGGTTCGAGTCCCACAAAGCCAAAGGCCCTGCCCCGTGATTTCCTTGTGTATTCACTTCCTGTGAGGCCAGTTTCATCAAAGTCCCAGGAGCCCTTCTCATAGTTTTCCTCACCTCCAGGAACTCCAGTCCTGCCCTACCACAAGGAGATGACAAGAACCTACCACAAGCCCAAGAACCCATCTGTACTCACTGGAAGTCACTGTAGATGTCCAGCCATCCATCCTGGGTGATGCAGATGAAGAGAGTGTACAGGGCAACCCCCATGTTCTGGAAATGCTTGGGCACGAATGCACCAAAGAGTGTGACCCCAAACACAGAGAAGACCTGTCAAAGAGACCAAAACCCACCTCACTTCACCCAATGGCCTTGGAGCTGGACAAGACCTGCAAATTAATGCAAGTAAATGCTGCCAGGGACCCACAAGGATTCAGAGGCAAGCCCCTTGCCTCCCTGGGCATCCATCTCCACCCTCCAGGTTCTGTGCAGGGAAGGACACAGGCTGGGGCCTGGCAGGCACTGACCAGCATGAAGAAGAGGATGAGGGCCACAACGTTGGCCAAGTCCGGCACCGACTGCAGGATGACCCTGATGATCTTGGCTAGGGGCTCCACTGCCATGCACACATGTACCAGCCGAAGTGCCCTGTGGCAGAGCCTCTCAGAGGTGCCCCTTGACCCTTCCAAGACCTTTTCCTTCTTGTTGCCTCCCTCCCACCAACCTCCCCAAGGGGAAGAGCTGAGCCCCAGAGGGTACCGACTTCCCTTCTCACTCCTGGGATCCGAACAGATAACCCCCCTTACCTTCGGAGCCCCCCACTCACCTGAGAGGGTAGGTGATGGCAACTATGTCAAGCTGCTTTATGAAGAACCCCATGAACAAGACAAAGACAATTGCAAAGTTGAGGATGTTCCAGCCGTCCTGAATGGGGAAGCAGCCCAAAAGGGTCTATCAAGCCCAGCCCATGGGAGCATCCCATCTGCCCTAACACAATGGGAGACTCAGTGTTCCTCTAAGAACAAAGCTAGCCAGCTGCCATCTCCTGGTTGTCCACCCCTGATGTACCACAAACACACACAATCACAGTCCTGTGCCTATGAAAACAGCCATTCTCAGAGACTCACAGAGAAGACACACACACACACACACACACACACACACACACACACACACACACACTAGCTCCTTAGCCAATGATGATCTGTATAGTTAGGTGACTTCAAAACTCCTGGATGCTCCTGCCTTAATGTGAAGTGTGACATACACTATAATTAATAAAATTAAAGTAGTTAGGCCTGGTGGTACATGTCTTTAATCGCAGCACTCTGGAGGCAGGGGCAACTAGATCTCTGTGAGTTTGAGGCTAGCCTGGTCTACAGAGGGAGTTGATACCCTGTCTCAAAAATAATAAATATATAAATACAAAAGAGGCTGAAAACAACGAACGTGCCCAGCAATGAGAGACGGATAGAATGAGCTATTGTACATTCATCATGTACTAATATAGAAAGATTACCAGGATCCCATAAGTACCAACTAAGCGCAAAGCATTGTTTGTGGTAGGCTACCGTCAGGGAAGGGAGCACTAAAAATACATGCCTATTTGCCTAGGATTTAAAACAACAGCTGAGAGGATAAACGGGCTCTGAGAAGATTACCTAAGAGGTGAACGGAGGCAAGACAGGCTGAGGGACTGGATCGGATCCAGGACTGCGTGGCTTTCTACAGAGTTTTGTCAATGTGTGACTGAAGTAAATGTTCAAAAAGAAAGCCATATTTTAATGGAAGATGCTCTTAAATTTGGGAGGCAATCCAACAGACTCAAGCCTTCCTCACATTTTAGAGTCTGGGCCACAACACCGCACACACAGGGAGACACAAGTCTGATTCTCTGTGGAATCAAGGCCTGTAACCCCAGCCACTTAGGAGACGAAGGTGCAGGTTGGGGGTGTCACAAGTTCAAGGCTTGTCTGGGCTACAGTGTAAGCTCAGGGCCATCCTGGAAAACTTAGTGGGGCCTTGTCTCAAAGTAAGAAGAGGGTCAGGGAGTGGGTGAGTAAGTAAGCCTAGTGTGGTGGTCTGAATGAAAACGGCCCTCATAGGCTCATCTGTTTGAATGCTTGGTCCCCAGGGAGTGGGACTGTTGGGAAGGACTAGGAGGTGTGGTCTTCTTGGAGTGAACATGGCCTTGTTAGAGAAGGCTGTGCTGCCAGTGTCTCTCTCTCTCTCTTCCTGCTCCCTGTGGATCCTTGTGCATCAGGATGTAAAGCTCTCAGCTGCTGCTCCAGCACTATGCCTTCCTGCCTGCAACCATGATGATCGTGGACTAACCCTCTGAAACTGTAACAAGCCCCCAGTAAGTGGTTTCTTTATACGAGTTGTCGTGGTCATGGTTTCTCCTCAGGGCAGTATGACAGTGACTGAGGGACCTGGTAAGTTTGAGACCCTTGGTTCACTAGGAGTCAAAAAAAAAGGCCTAGCCAAGCTGGGCTACACATCCACCAAGTATTAAGCTCCTGCTGTCTGCCATATCTTGACCTGTTTTCTGAGGATACAAGGTTTTGCCATGCTGGGCTCATAGACTCTTTAACTCTGCCAGAGAGAGTTTCTAGAACCCAAGAAGGAAAGCCAGAGTAGCGGAAGCCTAGCCTGGGAGAGACCTCCCAAAAAGAAGACATCCCAAGGAGCCAGTTCATGATTTTAAAATGAGGGAAGAGGGAAAATCAGAAGGGAAACATGAAAATTACACAAAACTCAAATTGCATTGTCCACACGTGAGGCATTTTGTCTTCTGTGGATGGTGTCCCACTATCTAGCCCAGGTAGGCCTTGAACTCCTGACCCTTCTCCCTCAGCCTCCAGACGACTGGAATTATAAGTGTGCATTACTGTGCTTGGTGCAAGTGAACTCTTACTGGACTAGAGCTGATCTTAGTCCAGTTCACTGAGAGGCTGAGCCAGGGATGTCGCTGGAGCTCAGGAGTGTGGGGTGAGCCTGGGAAACAGAGTAAGACCTTCAGACAAACACCTCATCGACACACCTGGGGGGAAGCTATGCTGGGACACAGCCCCTCCCGTCCATCTTCGTTCTGGCTGTGCTGTGTGCGGCCTGACAGAGGTCAATTGTTGCAACAGGGACTAGAGCCTATAAAGCTTAAAATACAATTCACTGAGCTAGGCAGGGGTGGGGCACACCTTTGATCCAGCACTTGGGAGGCAGAGGCAGGTGGGTCTCTGTGAGTTCAAGGCCAGCCTGCTCTACAGAACTAATTTCCAGGACAGGCAGGACTACACAGAGAAACCCTGTCTCAAAAAACCAAACCAAACAAACACATCCCCTACCATAAAACAAAACAAATTACTGCATTATAGAAAAAGTTCGTGGAGTCCTGATCCAGAATCATGTAAATTAAGACAGATACTCTCAATTCCTTGATTCCATCTCTGAGATACAGAAACCTGGGTTTGTGTAAACAGAGAGAGCTTGGGAGGCAAACAGGGGTCCAGACACATGGACGGGGCACTTCCTGGACGGGGCACTTCCTGGACGGGGCACTTCCTGAACGACGTATATTCTGCCCTATTCCAGACATACCTGAAACCTCCCCATCCCCTCACACTGATACACTCTCTCTCCATATAAAACCTTTATTTTGCTAGGCAAAGACTTGATGTACTGCAGACACCAGGGTGAGGGGGATGAGGGGACAGTAATGACAGGAATTCCCGGGACCTTACCTTCCAGAAAACGCAGAAGCCATTGATCCAGCCGAGGAGAACCTCACACATAAGAATCGTCAGCACAATGTCGTCTATGATTGAGAAGAACTCATAGTGTTTCTATGTGGAAGACAGAGAAAAAGAGGGAGGCAGAGACATCCGTGAGCAGGGTCTGCGCCAGGCTGGAGAGAGGCGGGGTGTGGGTGAGGGTACCCCGGCTACCTTCCTCCTTAGCATCTCCATGGTTTCCTTTAGGGGACACTTTTTGCACATATGCCAGGCAGTGCTAAGACCCTTCACGTACGGTGTCAAGCGACTGTCAACACTGTTTTGAAAAGTAGTTTTCTGTTCTGTCACATCTCACAGATGGGGAATTAGGAACCTGGATGCACATGACTGGCCTTCACCCCAGCCTCTGGAGTAGGCTATTTGGGAAAGGGAGGTGAGGAAGAGCTAAACAAACTCCGGCACTGGGGAAAAAAAAACAAAAAACAGGCATGCTCTCTTTCAGGAGCTGCAGGACCCCAGACCCTAGGGAACTTCTCTGCTACTCTGGTCCCAACTACCCCTGTGGCTGCAGCATCCCAAGTTGTCTGGGTCAGGTCGGAGGTGCCCTCCCTCTGTAGATCCAGGACGTGTACCTTGGGTGCATCAATAGGTAGATGGGTAATTAGGGTCTGTCCAAAACCAAATCCACTTCTGCCCAACCTCCACCTTGTTCTCTCAGCGTCCTCATAGCTGTGACCCACTCCCCATCACCCCCAGTCCATGGAGTCCACCCCAGCACACCAGTCACCTTGCCTCTTTCTGTACTCCAGCAGCCAGCAGAGTCCCTGTCCTCTTGTGGGCCTCCTGCTACCCACACTCACTTCTGCCCATCTCCGGGCTTCTCAAGTCTGATCTTTACAGTCACAAACTCCACACTAGGGTTCCAGGCTTGGCATTATTTTTCCTCTTCTACTATATTTTTTGAGACAATCTCATGTGGCCCAGGTGGGCCTCAACTATGTAGCCAAAGATGTCCTTGAATTTCTGATTTACCAACTGAACTACATTCTTAACCCAGCATTTTCAACCGAGACCCATAATAATAGCTGTTTTTTTCTGTTGTTCTTTTTTTTTTGGGGGGGGGGGTCGAGACAGGGTTTCTCTGTGTAGTTTTAGTGCTTGTCCTGGATCTCACTCTGTAGATCAGGCTGGCCTTGAACTCACAGAGATCCACCTGCCTCTGCCTCCCGAGTGCTGGGATTAAAGGCGTGCGCCACCACTGCCCGACTAAGAACTGTTTTTAACACTTCACAAGACGGTTCTCAGGGACTGGCAAGATGGCTCAGTGGAGAGAGATGCTTGCTGTCAAGTGTGACAGCCTTGGTTGGACCCCACAGTGGAAGGAGGGAGCTGACTCCTGCAAGTTGCCCTTTGACCTCCATTCCATACTCTTGAGATGGCGCGTGCACACGCATGCACACACACACACACACACACACACACACACACACACACACACACACGAAAGAGAAAAAACTGTAATGCTGCCCCCTCGGTGCCCTCCCCACTCCTCTCCTTTTATCTCCCGGCTCTGTTTCACTATCAGAACGCAGGGCATCTGAACTCATAACCCAACAATGGCTTGTGCATGGACCTCCACTGTCCTCGCTGTGCAAGCTATATAGGGGAGTTGCTGCCTCCATCCACCTGCTCTGGGGGAGGCCAGGTGCACCAGCTCTGGGGACTGTCTAGTCTTTATCAGGCCTACTTCTCACCATGGCTGGCCCTGCTGCCTGCTTCTCTGACCGTCACTCTCCTGAGCTCCCAGTCTGCCACCGGTCATGCCTTCCCAGTCACCTTGCCAGCTCCCCCTCCACTCCCACCCGTTATTGGAAACCTGTCTTGGCTCTCTCCTGCCTTCACTCACACTCTGCACGGCATTTCCACTCAGCCTTAACCCCCGTCCCTTAGACCCTGGCAGCTTTGAAGTGTCCATCTCCGGGCCTGTGCACCTGCGGTCTTTTGTCTGTTTGGGTTTTCAAGATGGGGTTTCTCTGTGGCTGTCCTAGAACTCAGTCTGTAGACCAGGCTGGTCTCGAACTCACAGATCCACTGCCTCTGCCTCCCGAGTGCTGGGATTAAAGACGTGTGCACCATCACCTGGCTAGCACCTGCAGTCTGTTAGATCTATCGACTCCTCTTGAGCCCTCCCCATATGGACTTCCTAGCCCCTCAAATGTCCTGTACTGACTTCTGCACTCTTCTCTAAACTTTTTTTCTCCTGGGTCTCCATGTCCCAGCCATAGCACCAGCCCCGACACTGTTGCTCATGGCACAAACTCAACTTCCTGCAGTCTTTGTCTACACGCATAAAAGGAGGCTATGTAGTAACAGAAGGTGGCACATCGCAAAGGGCCACTAAATATTAACGAGCAATGTAAATCATCAGAAAAGTCCATGGGGTTGGGGACACAGGCTCGTGGTATAATGCTAGCCCAGCATGTGCAAGGCCCTGGGCTCAATCCAAGGACCATGGGGAGGAAGCAGAAGAACCCAGGGATGTGACTCAGTGGCTCTTCTCACATACTTCCATTGTCCTGGTCGAGATCATATGTCTTTCACCTGGACATCTTTCACCCATTTTGACCCATCTTCTCTCAGTCTTGGCCCTCTTCATTGCCTTGTTGTCCACACTGTGCCTTTTTATAGGATACTTTTCTGGAGGCTGGAGAGATAACTCAGCAGTCAAGAGCCCTGGCTGCTCTTCCAGAGGACCTGGGTTCAATTCCCAGCACCCACATGGCAGCTCACAACTGTCTGGAACTCCAGTTCCAGGGGATCTGACACCCTCACACAGACATGAATGCAGGCAAAACACCGATTCACAGTAAAAAAAAAAAAAATCTTTTCTTTTCTTTTAAAAATATGTATGTTGTGTGTGTTAGTTTGTCTGTATGTGTAGCACACACATGTAGATGCCCTTGGAGGCCAAAAGAGAGCGTCAGACCCCTGGAACTTATGTTACAGGCAATTGTAAGCTGCCTAATGTAGGTTCTGGAAACTAAACTCCTGTCTTCTGCAAGAGTAGCAAATACTCTTAACCACTGAGCCATCTCTCCAGCCCCCACCCAGTGCCTTTTCTGAAATGCACATGGTCATTTCACTTCAATGCTGTTTTAAATCCTTTCCTGCCTTTTCAATGGCGTAGGATACAAACTAGCTCCCTTGACATAAAGATCGTATGTGATCTGGCCACTGACCACCTTTCTGAACTCATCCATCACCACCTGCATGGACATGCTGAATTTAAACAACACACACACACACACACACACACACACACACACACACACACACACCTCATAAGAAATAAAACTGACAGGTGCGGTGACTCACACCTGGATTCCCAGCACTTAGGTCTTAAGTCTTAGGAGGAAGCTGCAGGCTTTCAAATTTGTCCTCAGCTATATGTATAGTGAGTTATAAGACATTTGGGGCTATATGGAGCCCTGTCTAAAAAAACAAACAAATGAAAAAGCAAATTAAACCTCATCAGGCATGGTGGCATATACCTGTAATCCTAGTACTCAGAAGCTTGAGGCAGGAGGGTCATAAGTTTGAGACCAAGCTGGGCCTCGTAGTGAGATCCTGTCTCAAACTAACTAACTAGATAACAAACAACCAAATAATAAATAAAACCTAAAACAAAACAAGAAATCTATCAAGTGTGGTGCATACCTGACCAATCTACGTACTTACAGGGTTAGGGCTGGACTGCCATGAGTTGGGGGCCAGCCAGGGCTACATGGCAAGTTTGAGGCAAACCTGGGCTCTCCAGCTGGATACACACATGAAGAATTCTCTCACTGTTTCTTCTTTTCTCCTCCTCCTCTTTTTCTTTGCCCTCTTCCTCTCCCCCTCTCCCTCTCTCTCCCTCTCCCTTTCTATCTCTCCCTCTTCCTCCCCCACTTCCTTTCTTTCTTACACAGGTATCATAAAGTCTACTCTGGCTTCAGACTTACTATGTAACCTAAGCTGGCCTTGTCCTGAAGACACTCCCCCACCCCCGACCCCCGTTTCAGATCCCTGAATGCTGGGAGCCTCTGTGTAAACCACCTCAGCAAACTCTAATGTTCTGTTCCTTTCTTTTTCCTTTTAAAAAACCTCTGTATGTATGATGTGTGTGAGTGTGCAAGTGCGTGCCTGTGTGCTTGTGTGTATGTGTGTGCACACCTGTCTCAGTGTGTGTATGTTGATCAGAGAACACCCTTAAGAGTATTGGTCTAGCTGGGTGGTGGTGGAGGAGGTGGTGATGGTGGCAGCGGCGGCGGCGGCGGCGGCGCAGCCTTTAATTCCAACACTTGAGAGACAGAGGCAGTCTCTGTGAGTTTGAGGGCATCCTGGTCTACAGACTGAGTTCCAGGATAGCCAGTGCTACACAGAGAAACCCTGTCTTGAAAAAAACCAAGGGGGGAAATTAAAAGAGTATTGGTTTTCTCCATCCACCTTGAGGCAGGGGCTCTCTTGCTGTTTGCTACCATGGTGAGTACTCCAGGCTAGCTAGCCTGAGAGCTTGGGGGCGGGGGAAGTCTGCTGTCCCTACTTCCCATGTCTACACAGGAGGACTAGGATCACAGACCTACACCAAACCATGGCATCCAGCTTTTATTCGGGTTCTGGAGATCCATACTCAGGTCACCAAGCCCAGGTCCTTTGGAAGAACAACAAGCACTCTTAGCCACTGAGGCATCTCTCCAGCCTAAGAAGTCTTTCTTGACATGCAGATCCTATGCAAGGTCAATGGAAACAGACTTTTTTTTTTTTTTAATTTACTTATTTGAACATAATCTCACTATCTAGCCTGCCTAGCCTGGAACTTGCTACACAGACAAGGCTGGCCTCTAGTTCACAGAGATCCAGCTGCCTCTACCTCTTCCTCCCTAGCATTGGGATTAAAGGTTTGCTATACCAGGCCCATTTGGTGACCAGACTTTTGAAGAACATCCGAATCCAATCATACACAGACAAGGAGCCAAGGACCTGAGAAGGAAGCTCCTTGTCCCAGGTCAGAGCGAGGAGAGGGAGAGATCAGGCCAGCATCCCACCTGACCAAGGTAAGAGTTGGTACGAATAGCGATGGTGATGGCGTTGATCACCAGCAGCAAGGCCAGCAGCAGCTGGAAGGCGGGATGTCGGAGCAAGTGCTTGACGCACAGTGTAGTGATGTACTCTTGCACGTCCCAGGCATCCTGGAAGGGGACGGAGACCTTCCTTCAGCAGGTGCCTCCACCTGGACTCTTTACTCCCTATTCCCTGTGAATGGGGGGGACGGGACACCCGGGGGGACTGTCCTAGAGGGTGATGCTGTTGCCTGAGTTCATGAAATGCTGGTTTCCATGAAGGAGTCACAACAAATGATCATGAAGAGAGGGTCACTACTGGGGACCGTGGGGGCCATGGGGCTCTGCTGGTGAGTGGCTATCACCATATAGGGCTTCCTATGAGAAGCCGCCTCAGTGGGCATTAGCTCCTCGAGAAGGTCCTCAGGGAGGACATTTAAAGGGTACAGAGCTGCAGGAGGGAACTACGGGGTGGAGGTCACCTCAGTCTCGACTCGGCCCGTCCCTCCCTCCCTCCTTGCCTTACCTTCTTATCCACGACGTCCCTGCGGTTGATGAGCACCTGTTCCTCATGCCGACTCATGCCTTCATAGGTGTTTTTCTACGGGGGACAGATGCAGGCCTTCAGCGTCACCACGGCCCCTGCCCAACCCAGGATGCCAGCTTAGTGACAGCGCCAGGCAGGGGCTCCCTACCATAGTGCCCGAGGGTTTCACACTGTCGGTTTCTGCATCCACTATTCTTGGTTGTCAGGCATCTTAGCTCTGATCCCTTTTCCTCAGAGCTTTGCTGCAGGCAGCCTCCCTTCCCCTTGTGGTGAGATCACAGAGGCAGCTGTTACCGCGCCCTTCTGTGTTCCACCAAGACGTTCCAACCTGATTTAAAAAAAAAAAAAAAAAAAAAAAGCAAGGGAACCAGGTCCTCAGCCACCAGCTTCAGGATGGGGTCAGAGGTTAGAGGCTGGCGGGAATAGGTCTGGACCCCCACGGCATCTGAATATAGCAAACCGAGGTCCCCTTTCTGCATCCAGGTACTAGAGGAGAGGCTGAGTGAAGGGGAAGAGATGCCCGGGATCCCTTGCCTCCAGCTACCCAGCTGGCCCTTCCAGAAAGGTAAGTTTTCTTATCTACTAAGTGAGTGTGCCTCCCTGGGGCTGGGATAGGGGAGCGGCTCTGACCTCCCAGGACTAAGGCAAAAGGATGCGTGACCACAGAGCCCAGCGCCCTGGCACAGGAGCCTCGAGTGTAGACCGCAGGGTGATGAGCTACCCAGGGAGCTTGTCACCACCCTGTGACAGAAGGCATTCCTCTAGCCGGACAGCGATTCACCCCTGTGTGTGTTGTGGGGAGGGGATGTCTGTAAGGGCGCTGCAGATCCCCAGTTCTAAAGCAAAGACACATGGGTTCATTTTGGAGAAATCAACTTTATTTGGTGGAAAAGCATCTCTCATGTAAAATAAACAGTCATCCAGATCTGCTCTGAGAAACCTTTTTGAAGGACCCAGGGAGGCAGGTGTGTCTGGATCTGAGGATGGGTTAGGGGACTTCTACATCACAGGGAGGGGGCTGCTCTCCTTCCACCCTGGGGGACACATGAGCAGAAACTGTGGAAGCCCTGGATAGTGGGATCAGGTAAAGCCGAGGACTAGCCCTACTTCCAGCCTAACACAGACCCCGTGGGCATGCTGTCTTAGACATGACAGAGGCTGGAGATGAAGTCCTCCTCAGGATCAGAGGTCAGGAGCCAGGCACTACCAGCCAGGGTCAGAGGTCAGGAGGTTGGAGGCTGTTCTCTGGGGTCAAGGGAAAAAGCTGGGAGGGTTCCTCGGGGTCAGAGGGCAGGGGCTGTGGGGACTGACCCCTGGAGTCAGAGGTTGGGGCTGGGGAGCTGTTCTGGGCCCGCATCCCTCCACGGGTGCTCAGGACCTCCGTGTACAGCTCCTGGTTCTGTTCTTTCCACCGACGGAACTTTGCTCCCGTGAGCTCAGGGTCACCCAGCACTTCTTCCAGGGCCTGCAGTTCCTGCAGCTTTGCCTGAGGCGAGAGCAGGGGGTAAACCTCTCTGGTCACCCAAGGAGGTATAGAATCCAGCACTAACTTTAAGTCCTGTGCCCAGCACCAGGGAACCCTGGCCCAAGAGCCTGGGTGAGTAGCTGGTCTCTGCACACAGAACCTTCTAGAGCTTGGCTCAGGCGCAGTTGAGTCTTGAATAGAGTACGGAGCCCAACACTGGGCTCCAGAATCAGAGAGCCAGGGCTTAGAGCCTTCGGTCTACAGTCTGGATCTCACAGTGGAGCTCACAGTCACCAGGGTCTGAGGCCCACAGCCTCGTCCAGTCTTGCCCAGGCCCGTCGCTGCCAGCTCACCTTGAGTGTGCTCTGCAGTGCCCGCACCCGGTGCACTCGCTCATTGAGATGAGGGTCACGGTTGCGCCGCATGAAAGATCTCCGCCACTGCTCGTGGGTCAGGGGCTGTGGCTGCCCCAGGAGGGACACGCCCCCCTGCCTCAGCTCCTGCACCATCCCCTCCAGGACCCTGTCACTGCTGTCTGTGAGAGCAGGATGCGGGATGAGAACACATGAACACAGTCAGGTCATCTCCGCAGCCCGGGGACCCCGCTCCCAGGGTAGCACCTGCTGAGGAGCCGAAGGACGTCCTTGGACTCTGCAAGGGTGAAGCCGTGGGGGGGGTGTCACTCCGGGTTGGAGCCGGGCCAGGCTGTGTCAAAGCAGAAGGAGAGAGAGGATTAGCCTGAGCCCCCCACATCCTGCTACCTCCGAATTGGACGTGACGGTACTCACTGAAGCTGAGCGGGACCCAGCCTCCTCGTCCGGGTCTTCCGCTTCTGTCTCACTGTAGCAATCTAGAGTGAGGAGTTGGAGAACCATGGAGCGGCGTTGGAGAGGCCAGGGAACTGGAGCTCTGGCGCCCAGCCTGGGAAAGGCAGGAGCTCAGGGATGTCTGGACCCCTGCTCTGACTCGGTGATACACTCACCTTCCTTTCTGGCAGAGGGCGCCTGACCCGGAGTCTGGTACTTGGAAATGCAGGTAACGAGATGACGGACCCACCTGCAGAGGAGCATGTGGGCTGTGGGATTCCATTCACCGCAGCCCGTTTACGTCTGTGCTTTTCACCCTCTACCTACATCTTCTAGTCCCCCACCCGACCCCCGGAATGTTTTTGTGTGTGCTGGAGCCTGAGTGCAAGTGCTCCACACTGAGCCATACCCTCTGTTCTCGTTCCTGTTTTCTTGAGACAGCATCTCACTATACGGCTCTCGTTGGCCTGAAACTCACTATGTAGCCCAGGCTGGCCCTCAGACTTGCAATCCTCCTGCCTTAGCCTCCTAAGGTTAGAATTAGAGAGGTGAACCACCATGTCCCAGACCCACAGATCTGATCCTCCAAGAGCAACTTAGGTAGGAATCCTCCTTTACCCATTCTGCAGATGATGAAACTGAGGCTTTCTGAGGGCTGGGTTTCAGTCTGGTCTCCTGAGCCCAGCTCTTTTTTTTTTTTTTTTTTTTTTTTTTTTGTGTACATTGGTGTTTTGCCTGCATGTATGTCTGTGTGAGGGTGTCCGATCTTAGAGTTACAGACAGTTGTGAGCAGCCATGTGGGTGCTGGGAATTGAACCAGGGTCCTTTGGAAGAACAGCCAATGCTCTTAACCACTGAGCCATCTTCTCTCCAGCCCCTGAGCCCAGCTCTTACGCATGTGGAGGTTGGGGACTCCATGGGAGTGGGGAAGAGGAAGCGGTACTCACATGCTCAGATCAGTCAGGGTCTCAGCAGCAAAGACAAAGGGCTTGTACACGTCATGGGTCAGCTGGAACACACTGCCAGCGGGCAGAAAGAAGTGGCAGTCTCCTCTGGGCATGCCCATCCAGAACCCAGAGAGAGGCTGGATCAGGAATCCCAGCCACCTGCCCCATGTCCACCCCACCCCCACCCTTCCTCTCCCTTTTCCCCCCCACCCCATGCCATTCCAAGACTTAACTATTTTTTCTTCTGGTCATGTCCGCTCTCCAGGCTGTAGTTGGAGATATTGATGAGTCCTTCGGCCTTTTCATCCTGGGGGATCACAGTACAAGGGTCAGCATGCGACCTCCAGGTCAGCACGGAGCCCTAGGTCAGACAGCCAGCTCCCTAGGTAACTCTCTGGGTTTCTGGAACTCAGGGCAGAAGGTGTGGCCAAGAGGCCCCTCTGAGCAGGAACAGGAGAGCAAAGGTTCCAGAACAGCCAAAGGGAGCAGCTTGCTTAGACAGGCCCTCTCCCAGGAACTGCTTCCTGTCCCAAAGCATTTTTCCCTTCCTGGTTTTCCTTTTCCCTAACAAACATCCAAACACAGCTTTCCAAAGAAGCTTCTAGACTCCTTGGACTAGATCAGACACCTCTGCTGGGCTCCCATACATCGCCTGGAAGTTCCTTCATCCTAGCACACTGTCCTTAAGGATGTATTCAGCTCTTTCCCCCACGGGCCTCTAAGTTACAAGAGGGGCAGGACTCTCCAAATCTTTCCTGTTCCCCCAGGGCTTTAGAGCTCAGGGATGGGTCCAGCAGGCACCTGGATATCTACTGAGTGAAGAAGGGATTGAGTGGCCATCACCAGTGATAGACTATCAGAAGAGAAGAGAGAGAGAGTAAAAACGATTGCCCTACACTTAAAAAAAGTTTGCATTTATACATTTAGTGTATGTGTGTGTGTATGTGTGTGTGTGTATATGTGTGTGTGAGTGTGTATGTATATATGTGTGTGTGTATGTGTGTGTATGTGTGTGTGTATGTGTGTGTGTAAGTGTGTGTGTGTGTGTGTGTGTGTGTGTGTGTGTGTGTATGCCCACCCACACGTGCCACAAGACACATGGAGATCAGAGGACAACTTGCCAGACCATGTGGGTTACGGGTCCAGACCATGTGGGTTACAGGTCCAGACCATGTGGGTTACGGGTCCAGACCATGGGGGTTACGGGTCCAGACCATGGGGGTTATGGGTCCAGACCATGGGGGTTATGGGTCCAGACCATGGGGGTTATGGGTCCAGACCATGGTGTTATGGGTATCACACTCAGGTCCTCAGGCTTGGTGTCAAGCACCTTACCCACTGAGCCATCTCTCACTGGCCCTTTTTTCTGAGACAGGAGTCTCACTGTGTTATTTGGGCTGGCCTGGAACTTGCTATGTAGCTAGACTGATGCATGTTTGTGCACCACATGTGTGCCTGGCACCCACAAAAGTCAAAAGCAGGCATCAGATCCCCTAGAACTGGAGTTACAGACGGTTGGGAGCTACCATCTGGGGGCTGGAAACTAACACCGGTCCTCTCCAAGACTAACCACTGAGCCATCTTTCCAGCCCCCCATAACCTTTTTTTTACACATTGTAAGAACTCATTTCTCTACCAAGAGCCACTCACACCTTACAAATGGAAATCCTGGGGCCTAGGAAAGTATGGGGCTCTCCTGTGTAAAACAGAGGTAAGAATGGTGGCCTTAGGTCCACACGTTACCTATGCAAGTGTTTATGGGGTCTCACCTGGGGTTGGCGGTACCAGTATAGGGTGTGTCCCTTGAGCACAAACCAGCAGCGCCGCCAGCGTGGACCCATAAAGCCGCCGGGTACCTTGCGTAGTAGAAGCCATCCATCACAGTCCGGCAGGCCCAGCTCCCGGCAGGACACCCGCCGGCGGCTCAGCCTCGTGGCCACACCTGCCCCAACACAGCAGACCATGTTGACATGCGGCCAGCAAGCATCCTTCCCGGAGTCCATCTGCCCCCAGGGGGATCCCCAGTAGGAACTGTCTGAACTCATCCTGCGGGCTCACAATATCACAAATGCCCTCAGGTGGAGTGACTTTAAAGAAGCTGGGCATATAGCTTAGTGGTAGAGTGCACAGCCCACACACACACACACACACACACACACACACACACACACACACACACACCAGGAGATAAAACTGATGACCAGAGGGTACTTTCTCACAGTCTCAGAGCTAACAAGAGGCCTTGGTGAGAAGCGAGGGTCCATGTTCCAGAAAAGACTGTTGTGTAGGAAGCATGTGTGTGCACTGAGGGGTCCTGCCCAGCCCTGTGAAGATTTCTGAGAACCCGCCCAGTCAGGGATGCTCATACCTTTTGATTTCTTCCGACCAAGGACGGGACTCTGAAAAGACCATGAAGAGCTTAGAGAAGGGTCCAGATCCAGGGCCCACGCCCCTCCTTGCTGAGTCCTTGAGTTTACCTTGTCAAGGTTTCCTGAAGTCTCCAGAGGCTCTGCTGTTTTTTCTGGAAGTGTGCCTGGGGCCTCAGGGGGAGTGGGCCGGGGCTTAGCGTCAAGGGAGGTAGAGTCTGTTAGGCAGGGAGGAGAGAGGGAAAATCCATGAGCTCAGGCCCCGGCCTGTGGGTAGGACGTCAGCATGGAGAGGTTGGTGGGCACTCAGATGCCTTGTCCAGAGCATGTGCCGCCTGCTGGGGCTGTGAGACTACCTGTCCAGGTGGGGCCGGGTCCAGGACTCCCATCTGCAGACAGGTGGAAGGTAAAAAGAGCTTCGGCTGGAACCCTGCGGAGAACAAGGGGACGTGCGATGAGCCCATGGTCCCCGCTTCAAGACCTACCCAGAAGCCGGGCTTAGTGGCACTCCTTTAATCTCAGCACTTGGGAGGCAGAGGCAGGAGGATCTCTGTGAGTTTGAGGCCAGCCTGGTCTACAGTATGAGTTCCAGGACAGGCAGGGCTACACAGAGAAACCCTGTCTCAAAAACCAAAACCAAAACCAACCAACCAAAAAGGCACCTAGCAGACAGAGCTTGCTTACCTGGGAGACAGTGGGGTCAGAGGCGGTGATTGGCTTAGCAGGTGAGGGGAGTCCTGGGGTGTCTGGAAAACAACCAGAAACAAAGTGATAGCGCTAACCACAGGAGTATGAAAGCAGGTGGGGGGGGGGGGCGGGGGGGGTGGGGGGCGGGGGGGGGGGGGGGGGGGGGGGGGGGGGGGGGGGGGGGGGGGGGGGAAGGGGGGGGACAGGTACCTGTGACGGGGTCTTGGGCACTGGAATCTTCTTCAGCACTAGGCTGACACTGGCTGGCTCCCTCAGCAGCTCCCTCACCACATTCTTGTGGGGCCAGCCCACCTGGGGGACAAGGACACTGAGTGGGAGGTTCTCAAACTGCCCTGCAACTCTTCTCTGTCAGAGCTCCCTGCCAGGTCTCCACCTTCAGGGGGCCTCCAGGAGCCCCTTTAACTGAGCTCTGTGGGAGGTCAGGCTAGCACCCACCTGAGATCCCACCCACCAGCAGTCACCCTGAGACCTTCCTGTGTTGGCTCATGTCATTCGAGGCAGCTCCCATAGGCCTGGTCTTCACAGGGTGCAAAACCCTCGGGTGACTTTCCTGCTTCTCCCAAGTCTCCTCAGCACTCAGCACCCTCACCTCCACCTTGCCCCTCCCCGGCACTCACCACCACCTGCTCATTGATCTGGACGATCTCATCTCCTGGCAGGATCTGGGAGCCGGGGGAAGCCTAGTGTGAAGAATGGGGCCCAGAGAATGAGGCTTTCCTGGCATGACTGGCAGGTGAGAACGCCTTCAGGGTAGACGGGGTGGTGCGGGAGCGGTGAGAGGCTCTTACCTGGACACCTACTCGGGACACGAAGTGCAGGCAGTTGCTGGTGGTGTGAATTTCTAGACTCTGTGGAGACAGGCGCTAAGTCAAGTAAGAGGGGCTGAGCAGAGCCAGTGGGCAGGACCTCACACCGGGTACCAGGACTCTAAGGTAGGCAGAATGGGAGCAGAGCCTCAAGACGGCATTGTCCTAACTGCTGTGTAACTTTGGACTTGTTGCCACCACACACACACACACACACACACACACACACACACACACTCACTCACACACTCACACACACACACACATACTCACACACACTTACACCACCACCACCACCACCACCCATAAGGCCATAGGGAAGCTGTGTCACTGATTTCTGAGGTAGCAGAGTCTCAGAAATTTCCTGAGGGGAGACAGGGGATGACATGGAGTTGGGGGGTAGGGGGAGCAACTCTGGTTCTCTCTTCTCTTCTCTTCTCTTCTCTTCTCTTCTCTTCTCTTCTCTTCTCTTCTCTTCTCTTCTCTCTCTCTCTCTCTCCTCTCTCTCT